TCCACAGCTTCCATTCCCATTGGGCACAGTCCAGTATCCATGTGTGTAAGGCTAAGCAAATATTTAGCACATCTGTGCTTAAGTCCTGCTATTTCCATGGCATAATATATTTGTTTTTTAACCCACCTTTCCATCAGGGCATTTAAAAGTGGCAAGCTTGTTAAAAACACCCACAAATAAAACAGTGGTTGAGATCTTGTTGTTCTCTTATGCATGTGCAAACTCCCCAATGGACATGGTTGGATGTTTGTTTCAATGTGGAATGACTACATGAAGTTGAAGAAGCGGAGTCACACCTATGGTGCTGTTACACATGGTGTGTGTTGTGTATGGATGCACAATGTGCATTTCCCATAGATATGCATGCACCTTTAGTTGTGCATTGTGCATGGAAGTTACACAACTCTCTTCAGTAAGCCACTGAAACAGACACAGACAGCAGTCTGCAACAAAACATTAACCAGAATCAGATATTATTGAAAACTTAAAGAATGAAAGTGCCTTTATGTCTCACTAACACTAAGTGAGTATGAATGCTTAATAAATTGTCAGTAGAAGGGAGTTCTAAAGAGTGCCACAACTGAAAGTCCTACTTCATATCACCACCTGCTGTACCTCAGATGTCAGAGAAGCTCTGAGCAGTATCTTCAAAGGAGAACTTAACCATATGAATGTCTGATATTCATACCATCCAAGTAATCTGAGCCCAAGTCATTGAAGGCTGTGAAGTCCAAGACCAGCCCTTTGAAATGTAGCAAATGCAACTCCTCTTTAAGCACTAGCAAAGGTGTTCCTCCTTACATGATTGCAACTCGGGAAGAGGTACAACACTCAATCTAATGCATATCCTTGAACACACAAGAGGTTTAGAGACCACTTGAGTTACTGATCCACTGGCTGCTGTGCTTAAATCCACTGTGCTTTGGTGCATTTAAGCCTTTTTAGGGATCAAATGCTTACAAATTATTTCAGATGCACTAACTCAGCAGGGTGTCTTCTTGCATATTCCACATGGCTGCAGAGTGCAAATTATGAAGCACTCTGATTAAAGAACAGATTTGTTAGGGCTGTCAGAACTAGTCTGGACTAGTTCTACAACCTAAAAAAGAACCAGAAAATATTCAGATGTAGAGATCTTTAAAGGGGAGCATCGGCTTCAGACATATAAGGCTGACCACAAGGATCAAAGTCATTCAGTGTGTCTGTCTATCTGTCTGTCCAACTGTCCCTCTGTTTATGTTTTAGGACAGGATGCAAAAGAAAGTTTCTTCAACTCTCATGATGCATAGCTCCCTAACAAGCTTCCACCTTGAGATACATCTTATTTAACCATTACTAATCTTCTCCTGGACTAGCCCCAGAGAATGCATTAGAATTACCCATAAAAGTGCATTGAAGTGCTTGGTACAATTAATTTTCTAAATTGACAATAAGGGATGCTCTGCTTAGTAGGAAAAAGCACTCTGACATAAAGGACCAGGTGTCAAAGATAACAAATATTGACATGAACATTTTCTACATCACAGAATAGTTGCAGAGGGAACTTGTAGCACCTTTGAGACTAACTGAAAGAAAAAAGTTGGTAGCATGAGCTTTTGTAGACTTGAGCCTACTTCCTCCAGTTTAACAAAGCTCATGCTACCAATTTCCTTCTTTTCATTAGTCTCAAAGGTGCTACAAGTTTCTTTTGCTTACTAATTTTCCAGATTAGGTTCATGTTGGTTTGTGTGAACCGTACATGTGCCTTGACATGCCTATCCAAAACCCTGTGCTCGGCAGGCAAAAAAATCCCTTATCAGACTATTCAGTGTGGGCAAATGATCCAATTTGGTTAGAGTCTTAATTCAAAACATCTGGAGCATCCTGGCTTGGGAAAGTTACTTACAATATGTCCTGGTGCCCCTCTAAAATGTGCTGGGTTTCCTGAAGAGAGAAGGTGGTACAGAACTGTTTCCCACAAGTTGGACATTGAAAAGCCATTGCCCTGTCCATACATTCCCATGGCTGTTGTTCTTAAGGCATAAAAAGACTTGTAATCAATGAGCATTTTTGTCACAAGAGGGCATAACATGTTGACTATGTCATTTCAGGCAGTTCGTGGGGCATCTTCAACTCTTGTGCTTTCCATTTGCAAGGAAAATGTTGGTCTACGTAATCTCCACTATAATTAACCAACCAGCCACAATACAGCATAGGTCTAATCCAGAAGCAACAGTAAACCTGCCAATATAACAATCTAGACATGATATTGTACCAGAATTTTAGGCAGAGCCATGTTAGCATAGTTATTTAGGATCTAACACAAGATGAAAGAACAGTGGGTGTTTGTGTTGAGCCTTAAGTTTGACTTGAATTAAAAGAAAATGAAGGCGAAGGAAAGGGTCAATGCTACTTGATTATGGGGTCACCAAGAGAATGATCCTATTAAGCGGAGGGATAATAAGTATTTGGTTACCTTTTTCCCCTAAAATCCACTGTGAAACTTCATAACAAGTGGAACACAAACAGTTCAAGTTGCACTTAATGATTTTAGCCAAGGAAGGAGGTGGTATAGTAGTTCTCTTCCACCTGTTTTTTCAATCAGTATTTGAATAGAATGAAGGGTCATTTCAAATGCAGCAAGTGGAACAGGAAATGTGTTTAAATCTTGCTTCCTGCTCCTTGTAATTTTATTACCATTATCTCTGCCACAGAGATATGTGAACTGTAGTGTTTGAGTGAGCAAGCTGTGGTCTGCAGGTAAATTTGGGCTCCTGGGACCACTAAGTGGAATCTCTTTTCCTGTAATTTACATCCATTGCTCTGTGTCCTATTGTCTGGAGCAGCAGAAAACAAGTTTGCTCCATCCTCATCATGACATCCCTTCAAATATTTAAACATGGCTATCATATCTCCTCCTAGCCTTCTCTTCTCCAGGCTAAACATACCCAGCTCCCCAAGTTACTCCTATAGGGCTTGGTTGCCAGACCCTTCACCATTTTGGTCCCCCTCCTCTGCAGACACTCCATCTACTCAACATCCTTTTCAAATTGTGGTGCCCAAAACTGGACACAGTATTCCAGATGGCACTGCTTCTTCCCTTGATCTAGATATACTTCTACTGATGCAGCCTAGAATCACATTGGCTTTTTCAGCTGCTGCATCACACTATTGATTCATGTTCAACTTGTGGTCTACTAGGACTCCTAGATCCCTTCCACATGTACTGTTGTCAAGTCAAGTGTCCCCCATCCTATATCAGTGCATTTTATTTATTTATTTTCTCCCTAAGTGTAGTACCTTACATTTCTCTGTGTCGAAATACATTTTGTTAGTTTTGGCCCAGCTTTCTAATCCATTAAGATCATTTTGAACGTTGATCCTGTCCTCTGGAGTATTAGCTACTCCTCCTAATTTTGTGTCATCTGCAGATTTAATAAGCATGCCCTCTATTCCTTCCTCCAAATCATTGATAAAGATGTTGAACAGCACTGGGCCCTTTGCCACATTCAGAATAATTCTCTGATCACTTAAAAGGTGGGCTTATGGATGCACTAGAAATTCTCCATGGTTCCTCTGTTAGGTCTGGTTTGTTCTCTCTGGGAACTGTTGCGGTAGTGTGTGTAGATCATTATGCAACTTAATGTATAGGAAGCAATCAGAGTTTGCACATCCAGCCAAATGTGCAAAAGCTGGAAGTACCATAATGCCCATGTCACCACCCACTTAAGCGGTGAAAGATGGAGGCTTCTCTTGACAGTCCTTCTAAGAAAATATTTTGACAGGTTCAGTGTAGAGTGAAATGATAAGCTTTTGTTATATTCGTTTCAAATCATCCCCTTATCACAGGATATATTGATTAGCTTAGTACTTCCTCAGCAAGCTATAAAAAAAAGAGGACCTGCACTCTTTCTGGATTAAAGAGCACGAAAAATTGACAAGTAGATAACCATATTGATTCAGCCCAAGCCATAAATGCAAGGAGCTTTGTATATGACTTATAAAATTTTACAGGCACAGCCAGTTTAAGAGCTTTTCTTTTTTAATTGAGTGGAAGGACAAACAGGAGAAAGAAAAGGAAAAAAGGCCTGAGTTAACTAATTCCTCATTTTACTTTGATTTGCCAAATAACATTACATTATGTCCTCTGTTTTGCGGGTGGATCTCTCATTCCATATTTAAGCCTCCCTTTTGCTTTTAAAAACTTCAGAGGATGAAGAATAATGGGCTGGAACAAGCATTAGGCCTGAAATTCCCTTCTCCTGGGTCATATTTCAAATAAAAGAAAAGAGAACTGAAGCTTAAACCAAACCCAGCGTCTAGTTCTTCATGCGGCATTACAAGTCTGGGCCATGTGGTTTGTATTTGTAAATACTGTGAGAAGTATTGCTTTTGCAATACTTTTTAATGAAGGCCATATGAAAATGCTCATCAAGAAACCTCTCGCTTCAACAGGCATGTCTGTCTTTATAGTGTTGCTGGGCCAAGTCCCACTTTTCAGGAGTTCAACCCTCTGGCTAACACCGCTTGCCATCCAGGCCAGAATATACCAAGATTTCAGGGCTGAAAGCATTGGAAAACTTCCCCATGCTGTCTGGGAAATTCAAAGATTCAGAGGCTGCTGAAATAATCCAGTTTGACACTACTTTAAATTTCATAGCCCAATGCTATGGAATCCTGGGATTTGCAGTTTGTTGTGGCACCAGAACTGTCTGATGGAGAAAAGCTAAATGTCTCATGAAACTGCAATTCTCAGAACCTGAGAGCATGGAGCTATGGCAGTTAAAGTGGTATCAAACTGGATTATTTCTGCAAACTGGATGCAGCCTATGACTGCCATGGCTCCATGCTATGGGATTCTGGAAATTGTAGTTTGCTGTGGCACCAGAGCAAAGCCATTGCTCTGAGGCAATGAAGGTCCATTTTGCTGGTAATTGGAGCATGAGTAAATGACATTGGCATCAGGTTTTGGGGAGTGGATGTACCAGGAGATGCTACTTTAGTAACTATATGTCTACAGAGCCAGTATGATGTAATGGTTTGAGTGTTGGACTACAACTCTGAAAAGCAGGGTTCAATTCCCTGCTCAGTCATGGAAACCCACTGAGTGACTTTGGGCAAGTCACATACTCTCAGCCCCAGAAAACCCCTGTGATCAGTTCACCTTAGGGTCACCATAAGTCAGAAATGACTTGAAGCCACACACCGACAACTATACTTAAGTAGCTGATCCCAGTCAAAATTTTAAAATGTTTGAAAAATTCTATTAATCTTGCTAAGAAGGAAGAAAAGAAACTGAATTTCCTGCATGCAAGAATAGAACGGGCAAATGTTTACATCCCTAACGCTCACTTTTACTGGGTAGCGATGCGGTCCAAAAATCCACTTTTTCCATCTGCTACTTTATTCTGCATAATTGTTTAATATATTTACTATGCAGCGCCATCAAGTTTGAGAGATTTTCTCCTTTTGACACCCGTGCCCGCCATCCTGTTTTTAGTATGAAAGCTGCCCTGTGGGACTCTAGAGATGCCTGAACAAATGACTGGAACCATTTACACCTTCCTTTATGTGCTAATAGTGGTGCTTCAAAAGTGCAAAAGGAAACAAAATTGGACAAAGACCTTGGAAGAGCATTTCTAGCTTTTTTACAACGAGTATTTAAGCTTTCCCTTCTCTTTGCCGCTCTTGATCCAAATATGGAAAAATACTTAAGAGACTGCAGGTGAAAGCATCATGTGGGAATAAGATGTTAATAATCACAAGAAAATGATGAAAGAGAGAGAAAAGCACTGGCCAGGAAAGAAAGCTGGACACACATCCTGGCAGCTCTCTGTGAATTGTAGACACAAATTAGAGCTTTTTTGTTGGCTGACCAGTCCGTGATTGTTAGTAATGTTAGGGAAGGGGATCTATATATGTAAAGCAATGTTTTGCAAACTTTTTACTAAGCCCAAGTTGAATATTCTGGAAAGACACCCTTTGATTGAAATTGAGAGGTTTTGGGGAGGATCAAATGGGAGGTCAAATGCAGTTTGATACCACTTTAAGAGCTGTAGCTCCATCCTGTGGGATCCCAGGATTTGTAGTTTTACAAGGTCTTTTGCCTTCTCTGCCAAAGAGTGCTGGTGCCTCACAAAACTGCAAATCCCAGGATTCTGTAGGATGGAGTCATGACAGTTAAAGTGGTGTCAAACTGCATTATTTCTACAGTGTAGATGCACCCCAAATTTCTCTTGAAATAATGCTGAGATTTAGGAGGAGCTGTCCTTAACCAGAGAAAATAAGAACACTGAATGACTGAGGAAATATCAAATGTGGCTAACTTTTCCCCATAATATAACTATGTGCCACAGTAGTTAGCCAGCATGGCATAGTAGGTTGAGGATTGGACTATGACCAGGGTTCAATTCCTATCCGATCATGAAACCCACTGGGTGACCTTGGGTAAGTCACATGTTCACAGCCTCAGGGGGAATCAGGCTTTTACTTGCTGGTGTACATGTCTGTCCTGATGTTGGGAAGACATGCTCTTTGGCAGCTGAAAGAATTCATTTTTAAAAAAAATCCACTGTGAGTTCTCTTTTGATGTTGTTCTTCTTGTTGCATAAAACCTTTCACTTTTACCAGGTGCTGTACAGAAAGAGATGACATTTCTCTCCTTCAGGTTTATAATGTGAGAGACATGACACACAAGGAAAGGGTCCGAGGAGGGTAGAGGAAAACAAGCCACAGCATATAACTGTTGCTGCGTTCCTTCAAGTTGTTTCTGACTTATGGCGACCCTAAGGCAAACTTATCATGGGCTTTTTCTTGATAAGATTGTTCAAAGGAGGTTTGCTATTGCCATGCTCTGAAAGTATCATGTGTCCAAGGTCACCCAGTAGCTTTCCACAGCCAAGTGGAGATTCAAACTGTGGTCTCCAGAATCAAACTATTAGTTTTTATGTTTCTCTCTAGCCTTAAGATGGGAATTGGAAAGATGGGAACTGAGCATCTACCCAAGGGTTTTGGCATATCCTATGGGATTTTTGACTTTTCTTTCCCCTTGAAGCACATGCCTCTCCATTTCCAAACAGCTTGTGATGTGATAATGGTGGGCTGCTCTCCAAGAAACACAAGCCTGAAGTCCCCTGGGGCAGTTAACAGGGGTTGCATAGTTGTTTGGATCTGGACCGGGTTTTCCATTTCTGCAGAGGAAACATCCCTGTCTAGTGAAAGCACAGCATTTAAACAACTCACTCCATAACATTTTAAGAGGGGGGAAAAAAACAACCTTTACAGCCAGTTGTTGAAATTAATAGGAATTGCAGAGCCCTGGCTTCAGGGGGAGAAAAAAGATCTAGCGTCTTTCTGCTGGTTCTTTTAAACAGGAAACCAAGTGTAATTTTGCAAGGGGTGGGGGTGATCGACCGCTCTCTTTTTCTTTTCTTTTTTTGGAGGCAGCTGACTGAGTAGAAAGGCCCCTTGCCTTTTTCACCTTGCACAGTAAAAAAGGCTAAACCCAAGCTTGGCTCCCAGCATGTTGGGAGGGAAGAGAGCTCAGATGTAGAGCACATATTCTGAATATAGATGGCCCCAGGCTCACTCCCTGGCATTTCCACTAAAATAATAACAATAAAGACCTCCACCACAGACCGCAGAGAGCTCTTACACATCAGGGTAAGCTGTAATGGAGCAGATGGACAAATACTCTGAAATGGTATATGGCAGCATCTTGCACAGGGCTTGGACAAAATTCTCTTTTTGGATATTGCCCTCTTGGCTGGGGGCATTCTAGGAGAAGTGGTCTGAAAAAAAGTAACTTTTTGATCCCCGTTTGGGATCATGTGCCTTACCATAAAGCCTTAATCATCTCCACCTGCCTTTGATCAAAATTTGTCCCTTTCATTTGGCTTCCCACATGCCGATAGTATATGTTTTTGAAAACCTTTTCGTAAAGGTTTCCCATTGACATGAATGTCTAGTCATAACAAACTGTAGGGTTTTTTTTTTTTTGAACAGCCAGTGGGAGGGATATGACTGAATGTATGCTAGCTAAAGTTAGACCCATTGAATTAATCAGATTTACCTATATATGTTGGTTTTCCATTCATCAATGATTTGCTCTACCTGAGGTAAACATAGAATTCAGGCCATAGTAGATGAATCAGACTTCCTTGTACATTATGTTTACCATTCAAAGGTTGAAACATTTCTCTCAATAGGTCTGGATTAGTGTTGGACATCACACATGAAATTGACACACACTGTTCTGTGCATGTAGTTGTCTTTTGTTTGGGGTTTTACTTCACCAGAAAGTAAAAATACAAAAAGCTGTTTTGTTTTGAGTAGGGAGGTGCATTTCTGCTCATTCTATTCTTGTGTGCAAGCATGAATAATGTCAAATGTATTTCCCCACTGGGAAAGACTATGAGAGTTTTTGTGAGGGGTTGATATTTTACTATTTGAAACGTTATGCCAAAACAAAAGTCATTTGTACATGTATACACACACATGCAGAAAACATGGATTGGGGTAAATTTCTATGCACAAATACAGTCGGCCCTCCACATTTGCAGATTTGATTATTTGCAGTTTTGATGAATATGTTCTCTCTAGGAATCTCTAGGTCTACCAGCTCAACTCTGCCAGAAGTTGACCGTAGAGTTGTGCTGGAGAACCTAGAAGTTCCTAGAGAAAACACTTCTCTAGGCATGTGTAGGTCCTACAGCATGATTCTACAATCAACGTCTGGCGGATATTGACCGTGGAATTGCACTGGAGGACCTGGACATTCTTAGAAAGGTGTTCTCTTGGATAAAAAGAATAAGTTTTCTTATTAGCAAGTTTTCCACATTTGTGGGGGTCCTTCATCCCTAACCTCAGTGAAAGTGGAGGGACCACTGTATTGGGTTTTGCAGGGATAAATAGGCTTATGTAACGTCCACACCAACCAGCATTTTACTCAGGTGTGGAGGTGTCATCCATCTCCAAATGGGGATGGGGAAAACGAACCCCTTTATTTCTAACTCCCCACATCTTGGTTTAGTATGCCTGGAACAACTTACTAACAGACGCATGTCTCCAACCTGCTTCAAACACCATTTACATGTGGACTGGGAAATCATAGGTAGTCCCACCATTCATCTCTCCACCTGGAGCTCCTTCCATGCCACATCTCTGTCCTCTCCAAGGTGGCTCACGTGGAGAGATCAAAGTTGCTTCTTCCTCTATGGCTACTGTGAGGCCCACAGTTCTTCAGACCCTCCCACTGATGCTCATAAATAATGTCAGCCCAAATGTGTTTTAGTTACAGCACTGCCCGCTGCTTTCCCTTCTCCAATTCCTTGGAAGAACTCCATGCAATTATATTCCACAGATGTGTAAACCCATTGGGTTGTATTTCGTAGATGTGCAAGTGGTGACACTTAAAAGCCGGTCGGACAAGAAAGCAGCCGTCGCTGCCGTGAGCAAATGGTTCCACAGTTTGGTTTGCATATGTGTTTTTAAGGATATAAACATTGAGATTGTTCTTTTCCTTAATATGCAAATGAGTGTTTTCTTCATAAAACCAGCATGGTGCCCTCTTAATGAAATTGGTGAATTTCCCCAACTGTTTGTTTCTTCTCATTTAAAGTAGCGACGGTGCGGGGCTTCATGATTGAGGACTTTACATTCCACATGGATGGGCAATGTCTAGTTGCGTTCTGCAGCACACAAGTGCAATTTCAAATGTGTTTCCTTGGAGGGGAGAGGGAGGACATATCTTTGAAATATGAAGGCTGTGCTCAGTATTTCTTGCTGCCAACTTCCAGTTGCTGCTGAGATATAGGTCCCCCCGCCTTTGGGGCTATACTTTATGAACAATTGGTAGCTTTCTCAGAAGAGTTATATGTGGTGTCCTGCTTTCCCCATCCCCATCAATTGCCTATCATTATATATATATATATATATATATATAGAGAGAGAGAGAGAGAGAGAGAGAGAGAGAGAGAGAGGAATGTGGGGGGCAACCCCTCAATTTTGTTTTATTTCTCTCACTTTTACTTGCATTTATGCTCTACCTACCCTTTGCTTATATTGAGTTGCAAGAATTGGCTTTTTTCATTGA